ATTGCCTTTAACAGGCCACCAGGCAGGCACTGTGAAACCAGTTTTAGGTTAAACTGCTTCTGGAAATTAAGAGAGACTAGTATCAGCTCTATCAGCCCCATGGGAGCCTACAGATGGCCTGTCACAATGGGCACAATCAATGATTACATGCATGAAGGTAACGGACAAAAACAAGCCCATCTTCAGGAAAGTAGATCCTTCAGGTCCTAAAGCCCGCGGGGTTCTGATCTGCAAGCTGCACACTGCAAAGCTCAGTTAAAAAAATCTGATCCATGGACTGATTAGAGACTGATGATGGTTCTGGTGCTGCTGGTGGTATAATTTAGTTGACAGTGTGACCCCTGCACCCAGGATTTAGGAGCAGGACAACAAGCAGCAGATGGTGGGCAGAAATTACCAGCCATAATGATCGGATGATTTGCTGGTCAGTAAAGTCTTGTGTTATGAGTCATAACGGTGGTACTTGGTTAATAAAATCAGGAGTTTTGAAATGCTGAAACATGCAAGGAGTCCAGATTTTTATAATGTGACCATTTGCTTTTATTTTATTTTTTATTTTCTTTGGGGGAAATAAGTAACAAAGAAGAAACTAATGAGAAGTCAATAGATTAGCTGCTACCAGGATTCTGACATCCAGTAAGCAAAGCTGTAAGTGTCCTAAAGTTTTCAGAGTTCTAAAGTAACTAAGTACAAATACTTTGTTACTGTACTTAAGTAGAAATTTTGGTTATCTGTACTTTACTTTAGTAATTATTTTTCAGCGTACTTTTTACTTTTACTCATTATGTTTTTACACAATTACCTGCACTTTCTACTCACTGCAGTTTTTAAAAAGGTAAGAAGTAGAAAGTCGTTACTCCTATTTTATTCTGAGTTGTTATTACTTTTAAAAAACTATCCTGATGAATTGTGTCTTCTGGACAGAGTGAATTTAATTGTGGTTGGATGAGAAGTATAAATATATACCATTATGACACCCTATTAGCTTGTACAAAACCCATCACAGCTGCACACTATTAGAAAAGATAATATTTGGATTAGTCACCTCCCAGTTCATCATTTTGGAAATTAACTGCTCACTTTTACTCAGTACTTTAACTTTTAATACTTAAGTAGATTTTGTGTCATAAATTTATTTTTAATACTTAAGTACAAAACATATCAAATACTTTAAGACTTTTACTCAAGTAATATTTTTAGAGAAGACTTTAACTTTTATCAAAGTATTTTTATGATAAGATACTTGTACTTTTACTCAAGTATCACTTTGAGGTACTTTATGCAACACTGAAAGTTTTACTCAACCATTTAAAACACGTTGATGCAGCTACGGAGCAGTACCGTGTTTATCATTTTAGTTTACAATTGTCTACCGCCATTTAAAAAAATCTTTTTAAAACCTTAAAAAAGTGCAGTGAGGCACAAAAATGGTGGATACAAGTAACTGTGCCACCTTTATGTAGATGTCCAATGGCTCACTAAGTTCTCAAAAAATGATAATTTAAAAGAAAAAAACATTTTTTCTCCATTTGAGACCTCTTAATTACCACAGCAAAGAACTGATTTAAGTTCAATTAAAATGTTACAAACTTGGCCAAAAACTTGCTAATATTCTGTGCATATGCACTAGCAGTGATTCTAGTAAAATATTGCTTCATGTCCTTGTAGTCTGATGGTCCGAGGTGTTAGGGTCATGATTGTGACCTGGTGGCTCCTGTGTGTGGGTGGGGGTGGGGTGGGGGGTGACCTGGCACTGTGTAAAACTCAGGACCACCAGGAGCTAGAGGCCTCCCTGCAGCTCAGGAACACAGTGATGCCGCTCACCTCTCATGCCTGTTTTTGGCGTAATGAGGATACAATGGGATCAGTGCCCGAGGGCCGGCCTGTGTTTTCGTCTTGCATCGAGTGTTTGCTCAAAACACGTCGGCCCCCTCTGAGAACGAGGTCAGCTCGCCCCGCTAATCGCCTCTGCAGGCACAGACACGGTGTTCCTCCCCTCTCAAAAGAGCTTGTCACCAAAGGTGGCTCGCTGGTGGCTGTCTGCCACATTTAGCCAAAGAGCAGCGCAAGTGTTCTGCCAGAGTCCACACTCTAAGGCGCATGTGTCAAACACAAGGCCCGCGGGTGACTACCGTGTGGCCCACCAGGGGTCCCAAAAATAATAATATATATTAACATGAAATTTGTTTATTATATCAATGGTAAACTTTAAATTTATGGTTAAGTGCAACAAAATTAATTTAATAAAAATAAATGAAAAAAAAATTAAAAAAAATTCCTGTCCCTGAGCTGTTGGCTTGAAGTAACTGAGCAATTTAGTTGGATAGCACAGTACTAATGTCTGAAAACAAGCTGCTTTAAAGTCACCATCAAACATAAACTAAATCTGCCATAATGCAGCTACTCACTAGAAACTCATCAGTGAGTAACACTTTTTGTTTTGCTTTTAATAATATTTCTGTATTTATTTCAGATTTAGTCAGTCATACGCTTAGTTCTTATCAGTGTTTAAAAGAGGACGTGTTAAAACACTGTTTAGTCAAAGTTAAACATGAAACATCAAAGTTCATTACAACTGGCCCTWCGAGGGCCACCATAACTCTCATTTGGCTCTCGGTGAAAATGAGTTTGACACTCCTGCTCTAAGGTCAAAAGATTTTGATCAAAAGATCACAGAGGAAAAGGCAGTGTTGTATTAGAACCAGGTTTAAATCCTCATAAAACTGTTGATCCTGACCCTAAAGGGAATATCTAGAAGTTGAAGGCAGAAAGGGACCAATTGTCCCTGGTTCCAGTCGAACTTTTAGGTCCTGGTGCATCCACATTAAGTAGAACTTTTAATTAAAAGCATTTTTAAGTGCTTGACCTTTTTTTTTTTACCTTGCTGCTGTTTGTTCGAATATCTGTAATTGTTTCATGGTTAAAATAAAGTTTATCTAACACCATGATTGTGTGCAGGAGGGTATGCTGTATTCAGAGCCCCACGTCTGTAGTGTCAGACTCTGTTCCAGCTTCTGTGAACCGGCTCCTGCTGGCTTCAGTTCCCACCAACAGGATAAGGCAGAGCACTGTGGCACAGTTGATCTGTCACCTCTCAGCAAGAAGGATGTTGGAGTTTGCATGTTTTCCCTGTACGTGTGGGTTTTTACTAGATACTCTGTTCTGCAGACCAAAAACATGCACAGTATGTTAGGTTCACTGGTAACTGTCCCTAGATGTGTGGTTGTCTTTATGTGGCCCTGTGAGGGGTGTACACCGCCTCCCACACAGTGACTGCTGGAGATAGGCGCCACCAGCGACCCATGTGACCCGGAAAGGAAAACGTGGATAAAGATAATGCATGTATGTATGGATGGATAAAAAACAACTTAAGAAAGTGGAATCTAAAAATAGGAGCACAGTAGCTAAAAGCTAAAAATGAAGCACGTATACTGAGGTCATTTTCTAAAAGCACAAAGTTTTCAAGGACTTGAAAAGATCTCTGTGCATTTCTATGCGAAAAAAATAATTAAATACTACAAAAAAGAAAAACAAGCTAAAAATATGTTTAGGTAGTTGAGTCAAAAAAATGTGTGAAAGAAACAGGAAGTGTGAAGACTGACTCAGCGTTCACACAAATATGCAGCACTGATAAGAGGCCATTTTATTTGTTTATAGATGCTTTAGTACTTATTTATGTGTAAATATTTTATTTCTAATGTTTTGAATTGAATAATCATGACTTTTGTGCTTGAGTGTGTGACTCTACCAACAGGTTTATCTGTGTTGAGTCCTTTTGTACGCAGCAGATGACTACTCTCAATAGAGTTGAACTTCTCGATTATATTGTCCTCAGAGATCACAAAACCCCTTGTTTGAACCTTTCCAAAGGTCAGTGGGATTGACCTTTCATCGTCCTGTTTGTGTCAGCACTAAAGACTGAGGTCAGTGGCATAAAGGGCCAAGGTGAAGTCAAAGTCCCCGTCTTCTTTTCCACAGATAATTAAGCTGAAAAGATGCTCGTTTCGATCATTCCTTTTTAAATGGACATCATTTGTTTTTCAAAGCTGAAGCTCAGACACTCAAGTCATTTCATCTGAAATATTTTGAAAGTAGGTTTATGCAGAGACCTTACAGCTGTAAATTTGAGGACTTAAGGTTGCATGTTTAATAAGGGAGACATAAGGATTTTTGATGATTATCTGCTTTTCTTGTTTTTTGAACAAGACAAAAATCTTTGTTAAAAAAAATTCAACACAAGAAGTGAAGTACCCTCACTCACTCATCATTTTGGGACTGAAGCGATAACAGGCCAAGCCTTCGTTATGCTGTCCTGGAGAAATAACAGAATATGATCACACAGGAGATCTAAAGAAAAGAGCTAAAAGAAAGAAAATCTGAAGGCGAAGGGGAATTAAGAATAAAAAGGGAGGGGCGACAATGAAGTGGACACACAATAAAAAGAGGAGAAGGGAAGAGCAGAGGAGTGACATAAGTGTTATCATCAGCTCTCATTCTCAGCATGGAATCCATAATGGGAAAATCAACCTCTCTGACTCCTGTGTAATTGGATTTGCCGGGTCTCGTGCTGAATCAGTGCCCAGTGGGCAGCGCAAAGCTTGTTAAGATTGGACAAGCATTGCTGAGCCTGGAGGAGAGGTGGGGCGGCCGCTGAGGTAACCTTGACAACTTTTTGGGAGTGGAGAGGGAATAATTCAATACGTTGAACTCTCGACTGACGGGAAGAACACATAGCTCACCTGAGCAAAGAAAATGGACACCTGAGTAAGTTGGTGAGAGTACATGGTTACCAAGTTACAGCACTAAACACACTACTAGTCTACTACAATTGGCTTTAAGAACATCGATGGACACACACATCCTGTTTTGATCAGCTGTAATACACCCACCTAATCAAAGATCAGTTATTAGAGCTGAAACTGGGAGCTTTTATGTTGTTCCAGTGATGTAATGGAGCTTAAGATCAGAAGAAGAAACAAAAGAAAGAGAGCGGTAAAGGGGGGGATGAGTCAATGAGGTTTGGATCCTGTTTCTGTATGGTTACGTTACACTCAGCAGAGCAGCAGATAGCCAGGTAAGAACTGAACAAGATCTCTCCACCTTCCAAGACATGAATGATTAAGCACTCAGCCCACAGCGCCTTGGGTCTGAATAAGACATCATTAGATTTATTTATGGCTTCCAAGCAGCATCACAGACGTTGTGTCTCACACTACATGATGGAGACGACTGGAAATGCGTCCAGACTTTGTCAACTAACAAATAAGAATCCAGCTGTTCACTGATCGCCTCCATGCAAGCAGACACAGAGGGACTCAGCGCGTTTGGCTAACGTCTCTGGAGGAGAGGACCAAGATTCTGCACCTCGCTGGCAAACTGACCAAGCTTCAGAAATGCAGGTTTGAGTTGACTTTGTGTTTGGGGAAAATGCCCTTTTTGTCACAGGGGGATAAAAATCACTTTTAAAAGAAGCATCACAGCTGGTAGTAAATTTATTCTGAGAGAAAGTGTTTGAGGAAAAATTATCTAAAGGCCAGGATGGTCTGTAACCCATGGAAACCTGGGGTCAGAATGTAGCCAACATTCTTTTTATTTGGAGAGTCATATAAGAAGATAACACATGAACAATATGACTTACATGATGGACAACTTGTAGGCTGAGACCTTTTGGTGTTTTTACTTGTTGCCTGGGAATGTTTGGATTTTTTWAAAAAAATTTCACTGTTAAATTATTTTTAGCTGTTGAACAAATTCAGGAGACCTCTAGTAAAACATTAAACAGGACATTTTTCAGGTACTGCTGGCACTTTTAATTCTGAGCTGATGAAGCATGCAAATGGGGTCGATTTGCACGTTTTGCAGAGATTAATTATTCATTTATTCATTAAAGGAGACGTTTCACGCCAAATCCACTTTGTCATGAAGGACCTCATTTGGATATAAAGAGGCACGATCAAAACGAGTTGATCTGAGACACACCTCAGTAACGGGCTGAAAGAGGGGCTTGTGGAGTTACAATGAGGAATTAAAATCAAAGCATTGCAGTTCCACTTTCTATAGACCCCAACTGAAGGGTTTAATTATTGATTTGATTTATTGATTTAACAGGAAAAGATTACTAAAAATCAAGCCTGACTCAGCATAATTGCTGTTTTACAGCAGGTTCCTGTTCTGCAGCACATAAAACACTCAGAAATACAGCATCACAATCACATCATTATACACCATAGACACAAAAATAAACAAGCATACCAAATTTCAGGAAGGCAGCATTTGCAAAATAGGATGTCTAAACATGAGCACAACAAAAAGTGRCCAGCAGATGGCAGACAAGATTCTTCTTAAAGGGCTGTAGTTTTGAAATGGACTTTATGTTTTGAGGAATGTCATTCCATGCTTTAGTATAAACATAGAAGAAAGACCTCTGGCCGTAACAGTTTTTAAAAGTTGGTAATATCAGTTGTCCTTTTGTAATAGATCTAGTTGAATGACCACTTCCAGAATRTGATTTGGGCAACAATGCACAGAGAGTTCCATAATTGGCACCTTGGAAGATCTGAAAATATAGATTAATACCACTATACAAAACGTAATTCTGAAAAGTCAAGGCATCAGACAATGAAAGAACTGTACAGTGATGAGTCCAACCAGGAAGTTTTTTATGAATTTTGTAGGCCCTGTTGTAGAGCCTAACTATGGGTTCTAAGATTTCATTTGTTGTAAGAGACCAAACAGGTAAACAGTACYACATGGTTGAGAHTARAATGGCATGAAGATAGATATTTGAAACAGAAGATGAATTATATGTCTCCTTTCATGCCTGCTGCCAAAGGTGAAAGGATGATTACGTTTTTACCCTTGTCCATGCATGTTTGTCTGCTCCTTTTGAAATGACTGCCATAGCCAACTGACTTTAGCAAACACACATTTTTTTTAACTTAGTCAATTTTACAGATATTGAGCTAAAACTTAGTGTGGCAGTAGCTGAGAGTTACACTCAACACATACGTATCACTCCACCCCCTGTTAACAATAAGTGTTAATTAGCTGTCAACAATAGCCATGTGATGTGAGTATCAGTCACATGGAGGCAGGGCTTAAAAGCCTGAATTTTGCCTGAAACTCTCAGACTGAAGAAGTCTCTTGGAGAAGAGATGAAACGTTTCATTAGAGAAGAACCCATCCAGAAGACCTARACAATTTTTTTCTTTTTGATTTTTTACCTGATTACTGAGATGCATCAGGACATACTCTGAGCACTAATACATCTAGCAAGATCACATTACGCAAGGTTATAGCCCCATTTAGAAGGTCTGATCAAACGCCGTTCTGTGTTAGCAAAAGATAATCTTAAATTAAATGGTTGCATGAAAACTGGCGGGTGATATGCATTCCTTCAACTCCACCTTTCTTATTAATCATGCAAATTTGGGAGCTGTTTCACCTGCTTCATTCATCTTCAAGTCCAGGGACAAATGAARTGTTCTTTCAAAATGTTCTAAATTTTTTCTGGAAGTTGTTTTTTTTTCTTGTTTGCTGTGTACTTTGTAAGAAGGACATAATGTTCTCACATGAGTTTAAATGAATGAAATCCCTCAGCAGCCACTTCTCCTGCCTTGTTCTCTTGTCTGAAGCTCCCTCCACTTCCTCCACAGATGAGGTCACTCTGTCTCAGGCAACTGACACTCTAGACCAGGTCCAGGAACCATTGCCTAATTAAAATACAATAGGTTGTTCTCTGAAGTATCGTGGCAATGCACCTGAGCTGACGTTGGCTTTGAGGATTAATTACATATTCTTTGGTTCTGCTGCATGGGCTCAGTTCTTTAATTATAATTTCAAGTTTTAAGTACAGTGGCTCATTAGTAGATATGTAATACAAAAAAAAAAYYAAAAAAAAGAAAAACACAACTACAACATCTACATATACAGTAGTGAAGTGGTTCTTTTAGTGTCCTCCTGGACTGAGAACGCCCTTTTGGTGTTCAACCTTTCACACAGAGTGTCATTAGAAACCCTTCGTTTTGCTGGAAACAGCTTTCTTAAAAAAGAAAAATAGCTGCAGGACACCAAAGGGGAAACCTGAATGAACACAGCAAACCTTTAGATTTAGTCAGAAAACRGAAAACATTAGCGCCATTATCGCTTCTGAATTCATCAGTCCCTCCTCTTGACAGGAGCTTATCTGTCCTTGTTATTACTTGTAATACTGTATGGCATCCCTGAGGTATGCTGTCCCAGCACATTGTCTCCCTGTGCTGCCCTGAGAGGAGTTTGTTCCCATGAAGGAAGGGGTGGGGTGTCACAGATACCCCACACCAACACCACCACCATCACATCCCCAGATTGATTCTGACGTCCAAATAGGAGCTCCTTCAATGATATTGTTCACCTGTCTCATTGGCTTAAAGTGGGTGGGCGGGAGGGAGAGTGCTATGGGAAGGGGGTCGTGTGAGGGGTATTGGTGGGGGATACAGGGTGAGGGGTATTGTTCAAGAAAGGGTTGAGAGGATGGGGGTACGGTGCTGATAGGTGGGAGGAAAAAAAACTCCTGCTCTTATCTGACTGGTCTCCTTCTATGGGGCCCCGTTCGAGCAAAGTAATGAAGTCCAAATTACAGCACAAGACTGCTCAGAACAAACCTCTATTGTTTGGCCCCGGGGCACACTAAAGCACACCAAATGAGTGTCACAGCGAGCAGCGGGGCACGGACCGTTACTGCACTATTTAGTCTGTCTCGTTGTCTCAAGACGGCCCCGTTTCAGAGGTTCTCAGATCAGACAAATACTGCTCCCCTCCTCCTCCTCCCCTGGCCCTCTTCGCCTTCACCCCTTCCTCTGTACAGCTACACCCCCCTCCCTCCACCAACTCCTCACCCCAAAATAGGCCAAAATCTCCTCCATTGTGTTTCGACTGCCTAGTGTGAAATTCACTGTGACGTTAAATGTTTTCTAATGAATAATTACTGAATGGATAGGCAGGGGGAATATGTGTAATGGATTGTAGACTGCATTTTAAAGACGTCGTTTTTTGTCTTTTCTCCGTGGTATTTACAGGACAAAAACCACTTGGTCTTTCTCAGAAGAAACGAGGACCATAGTTGGAGGACAGGGGCACACGGGAGGAGGGGGGAAAGGAGGGCTTTGTGTCAATTAGATCCAATGGATTATCTTTTTTTTTCATTTTTAAATGTTTTTACAGAGAGTTGGGAATCAAAGGACTTCTGCTTCCAAAGAGAGAAAAAGAGAGGGGGGGGAAAAAAAACAAAAGCTGCGAAACCCTTTGGTCCAAGTGTTGGTGCTGCGAATGCAAAACAGATTGGTGGATTTTTTTTCCCCCACTACTCTTCTTAAATGTGCCGCTGTTTTAAGGTTRTGCCAGTCCATTTGTCCTCTGCGTTGTGTTTGGACGGCGCATCAGCTCCATTGAATATATATGGGCAGCCAGCCAAGGTCCTTGGGAGCTGTGTAGCAATTATCTTTTTGTGTAGCAATGATATTTTTCTGTTCGTCTGCACAATCACAGACCTTTGCTTCAAAGACATTTGGGACCTTTAAACCTCCGCTTTCAATGTYCTTTTTCTGCTCCTTTTGATAACGCTGTCCTCCCCCATGGAGTCGTTTATCAAAACATCCATTCATCCAGATGCAGTTGTCAAATTTCATGACCTCAAACCTTAAATATTCTTTTCATGCATTGCATAGTCTGTCTATGTGTTTTAGAAAAAAAAACATGTAAGCTAAAAATACATATATTCTGTCCTCTGATGCTGTGCATTTAGTTCTAATATGATTTTAACCACTTGTTGCTCAGGTTCAACTGGACATGGAGGGTGCTCTGACTGCCAGGGACCGGGTGGGAATTCAGGACTTTGTCCTGTTGGATGAAACCACAGAYGCAGCCGTTATCAGCAATCTAAAGAAACGATTCAGCAAGGATTTGATTTACGTGGGTCTCAGAGACTAGCAACGAGGACCTAAATTCAAATGTGTCTTGATTTTTTGAGTAGGTTTGTAAGATTTTTACTCATCTTTTTAGACCTACATTGGCACATTGCTCGTGTCCGTCAACCCCTACAAGGAACTGGACATCTACAGCAAGAAGCAGATGGAAGTCTACATGGGTGTCAACTTTTTTGAGCTTCCACCACACATGTAGGTGTACAGTTAACGTGAACATTTAAATTATCATAAATGACAGAATAATGAAATTGTATTTTTTTATGTAAGCTATGAATATTTGAAACTAAATTCCTGACAGGCTACCAGAGATTTAGGTACTTTTTATGTCTATGTGTGTTTAATATAATACACTTAGCTAATAAGTTCCTTTTAATGGGCTTTTGCGCAATATTCTGTGTGAAATGAGTATTCACTCTCCATGTTATAAAGCCTTAACACGGAAAGAAGTAGACTAATTTCTTTTTACCATGACTGTAATTGTTGTACTTTGTTGTAGTATGCAGTGATTCCAACTTAGATATATATTTTTATTTCATCTTAGTTTTTTAGTGTAATGTCAGTGCCATGCTTCCTTCCAGCTATGCTTTGGCAGATAATGCCTACCACACCATGCTGACAGAGTTCAACAACCACTTCATCCTCATCTCTGGCGAGAGCGGCGCGGGGAAAACGGAGGCCTCCAAGAAGATTCTGCAGTATTACGCTGTCAGCTGCCCGAGCACCACTTTGCTGAACACTGTCAGAGACAAAATGCTCATGTCCAACCCTGTCCTGGAGGTTTGATGGATACGATTAATGCAGTTTTATATCCGTCAATTTCAGTTGAAGCTTGATTTCTGACTGAAATGACTGTATTTTATCCTAGGCTTTTGGGAATGCGAAGACACTGAAAAATGACAATTCAAGTCGATTTGGGAAATATATGGACATCCAGTTTGACGGCCAGGTGAGGACCCAAAGAAATGCTTCACATAGAACGTCAGCCAGATCTGTGTCCCTCTCAAAAAGTCTAATTRGTGATAGTTTCATTTCTTATGTGTCTTGAGGACCTGAAGGTCTGGATGGCACAACATTTTTTGAGTTTTACTGAAACCAAGACTAAGGTTATGGTTTTTGGAGGTACTGCAGGCCACTCCTCTGTTGATCTAGGTTCCTTGACTCAATACAACAAATTGTTAGTGAGGAATTTGGGAGCTGAAATAGATCCTGAACTTAAATTAGACAGCCACATTAGGACAGTTGTTAGAAGGAGTTTTTATCATTTGAGGCAGCTAGCCAAAATAAAACCCATCATTCCAAGAAGACATTTTGAGACAGTAATTCATGCCTTTATCACCACCCGGCTGGATTACTGTAATGCACTTTATCTGGGGGTTAGTGGGTCCTCCATTGCTCGGCTGCAGAGGGTCCAGCATGCTGCAGCGAGGCTTTTAACTGGCACACGTAAATATTACCACGTTTCTCTCATTTTAGCTTCATTCCACTGGCTGCCTGTGCCTTTTAGGATCCATTTTAAAACACTTTTATTTGTTTTTAAATATTTTGAATGGCCTTGCCTCACCATACCTGTCTGAGCTGCTGCATCCCTATAATCCCTCCCGCTCCATCAGATCAGCTGATCAACTTGTCTCAAGGGTCCCTAAAACCAAACTCAAACTCAAGGGGGATCCATCTTTTGCCGCAGCAGCTCCCAAACTTTGGAACGAGCTACCTCTCCAAAGACAGTCCTCTCACTGGCTGTTTTTAAAACTTGTCTTAAAATCCACTTGTTTACTTTGGCTTTTGACACTGCGTGAGGGGTTGTGTTGTTCATTTATACTAGATTTTATTTTTCTGTATAATTTTTTTGTTTTTATTCTAGATTTTAAATTAGGTTTTAGGCATTTTATTGTTTTTCATTCCTTGTTTTTACTTTGTTTYTTATTACGTGCTTTTATTTTTCTGTGGTTTTTATTCCTATTTTAATTGTGATTGAGTTTGTTTTTATGAGCTGTGTTGGAATGCTGATTCTGCACAGCACTTTGGTGCAAAAAGTGCTTTACAAATAAAGTTGGATTGGATTGGAAATAAATTATCAGGAGAACATTAATATCARGTTATCCACAGGGCGATGCAGTTGGAGGCCACATCCTGAACTACCTGCTGGAGAAGTCGAGGGTTGCGCATCAGAATCACGGGGAGAGAAACTTCCACATCTTCTATCAGCTGGTGGAGGGAGGATCAGATAAATTACTGCAGCAGCTGGGCCTGGAGAGAGATTGCCAGCGTTATAACTATCTCACTCAAGTCTGTGGGGATCTGGTTGAGCTTTCCTGAATAAAACTGAAAGAGCTCAAACTGCACATGTTGACTGTTTGTTTTATGTGCCTAACAGGGGGAGTGTGCCATTGTTTCGTCCATTAACGACAAAAATGACTGGAAATCAGTGAAGAACGCACTACAAGTCATTGACTTTGACGAAACAAACACCAGCGTGAGTTGTGATTTGCAGTTTAACATTGCTTGTACTGACTTGTTTCACTGCCCATATGAACCTGTGTTTCTGTGCAGCACTTGTTTGGGGTGGTGGCGAGTGTTCTCCACTTGGGGAACGTTCGGTTCGACACAGACGGAAAAGGTCACGCACTTCTGAACGACAAAACAGACCTGAACTGGGTTTCAAATGTAGGGGGAAAAGTTCTGTCATATTCAGCACAAGTGTATACGCACACGTTTCATGTTCTTTGTTTTGGTTTCTTGACAGCTTTTAGGTGTGGATGCCAACAAGCTTCTGGAGGGGCTTACATTCAGGAAGATTGAAGCCAAAGATGAACAGGTCCAAACAACCACTAAAGCTTTTAACACTTTTATTACTGAAAGATGAGATTGTGTTCCCACATTTGAAAGACCACTGTAACGTTTCCCTGTTTGAAAAGGTCCTCAGTCCATTCACGACTGATCATGCCATTTATGTCAGAGACGCCCTGGCTAAAGCCATCTATGGGCAGACCTTCACGTGGCTCGTCAACAGGATCAATGAGACAATAGAAAACCAGGTAAGAATATAAAGATCTGGAAAACACCCAAGCAACAATGTCTATTTTTACTGACATTTTATGTCTGTAAGGACTCCTCGCGGAAGACTGTTATAGGACTTTTGGACATATATGGATTTGAAGTGTTCTACGTAAACAGGTGAGTACTTTTCTTTTGCCTGAAGAAAGAGGGGTCCTAAGTTTGGTTGACTATTTTTTGTTGTTTCTTGTCTGAGGTATAACTCCTTCTGTGTAGCTTATTATCTGTTGGTGCCTTGTTAAAGATTATAGACTTTAAAACAAAGCCGATACAACCTTTTCTTTCTTTGTTGCTCCCCTTTCTCAGTTTTGAGCAATTCTGTATAAACTACTGCAACGAGAAGCTGCAGCAGCTTTTTATCCAGCTGACACTCAAATCCGAACAGGAAGAATATGAAGCAGAAGGAATTGAGGTAAAGAAAGGACTAATAGATGATTTAATATTAATGAATGTTTATTTACTGCAATTGGTCCATTTTTTTTCAAGTGGGAACCAGTTCAGTTCTTTAACAACAAGATCATCTGTGACCTGGTTGAGGAGAAGCACAGAGGAATCATTTCAATACTGGTGTGTACTTAAAAGCCCATTTATTTCTTTGTATTATAGAGACACACGTTAATGTTTCTTCTGCAGGATGAAGAGTGTCTCAGACCAGGTGATGCCACAGACCTCACTTTCCTCGAAAGGTTGGAAGAAAAGATGGGAAATCATCCCCACTTTGTCACGTGAGTTAAAACTTTGTGTTTGTTTGGTGTTGAAACTGAAAGAAAAACTCATGACAGAAAACATCATTTTAACTCATATTTGATAACAAAATATAGGGGTCTGCGGTAGCTCGGTGGTCAGTGACGGCGGCCTTGTAATCCTGAGGCTGCAGGTTCGAGCCCAGGTTGTCAGGAAGGGCATTCGGCATAAAGCAAATACCAAATCTTCCGTGAGAGTTTGCTCACTGTGGTGACCCCAAAAGAAGGAAGCAGCCAGCAGAACAACAATATAGGATAATAGATTTGTTTAATTTATTAGATTTACATTGTGAGTATAAATGATGGAGCACAACAACATCCAAATCTTCTGCTCCTTATTCCTCTTTCTGTCTCCACTGTTTGGGCTGCAGGCACAAACTGGCTGATAACATGATCCGCAAGACTCTGGAGAGGGGAGATTTCCGTCTCTTGCATTATGCCGGGGAGGTCACCTACTGTGTTGTGGGTAAAAGAAACCACCATTTCACTCAGTTTTCAACAATTATATCAAAATAATTTAATTGAATCTGTGACTAAGTTTGTTTCTTATTCTTTTTTTATATTGTAGGTTTCCTGGACAAAAACAACGACCTGTTATACAGGAACATAAAAGATGTAAGTCTGTTGTTTTATACTGAAAATGAAAGACAAATCATTTAAAGGGGATATATGATGCAAAATCCACTTTTTACTTGTTAAATGCTGTTTGTTGTGAACTTGGAGTAGTGCAGAAAAGTTTAATTTAGTCTCTTCTGGTGCTGCAAAGATATCTTTATATTCTGTTTGGGTCGTATCTTTCAACCTGTTCAGTTTTCTCTATTTTCTATGACGTTTTCTGAACTATTCATCCCAGTATTTGTGACAAAACTGCCAAATAAGGTCTGGACTTACTTTGGATTTAAAGAGACAGCCTCAAAACGAGTTGATCTGAGGCACACAGGAGAAAAGTGGTGGAAGAGGGGCTTGTGGAGTTACAATAAGGAGGAATTAAAACCAAAGCATTACAGTTCCACTTTATATAGACCCCAACTGAATGATTTAAATGTGAAAAAAGAAGAATTCAAAAGCGTGACATGTCTCCTTTAATAACTTATAATTATAACAAGATAGTTTGTTTTTTGACAAATCAGTACTATGTCAACAGTTAACCCTTGTGTTCATGCAGCTGATGTGTAGGTCAAAAAATGCTATCATCAGTGAGTGCTTCTCCAACATGGACCTTGACAACAAGAAAAGACCAGAAACAGTGAGTTAATTCACATCCGGCTCCTCGCACACCTTAACTGTAATAATTAATGTTTTATTTATGAGCAAAGACATAATTTGGTGTTTCATATTTTCTTTACCAGCACAGTCTCAGTCTGATTTTGCTGTTGGGGATTTTGACCCTCAGTTTGTGTCTGCAGGTAGCGACCCAGTTTAAGAACAGCCTGCAGAAGCTGACGGAGATGCTCATGGCTAAAGAGGCCTGGTACATCCGCTGCCTGAAATCTAATGAGTCTAAGCAGCAAGGTACATCAGCTGACAGAAGGTTAATGGTGACAAATAATAATAATTTGACTAAACCATTTTTATAAGCTGAGTATCTGGACCTTTTACTGTCACACATTTGTAGGTCAGTTTGACGAGGCACTGATCAGACACCAGGTGAAGTACCTGGGTCTGATGGAGCACCTCAGAGTCAGAAGAGCTGGTTTTGCTTATCGACGTAAATARGAGGATTTCTTAAAGAGGTACTGAAAGCCCACCACTTTCCACATTCTTGATTACTTTCTGGTAAAACTGACTGTGTGAGATATTTGGCTTGTTTTGCAGGTACAAACCTCTGTGCCCAGCCACCTGGCCTCACTGGAGAGGGCTACCTGCTGATGGGGTTGAACTGCTGGCTCAGCATCTGGGTTACCTGCCTTATGAGTACAAAATGGGGAAGTGAGGACAACTTTTACATTCCAAAAAGGGCAAATGCACTTTCAAACCAGGAAGAATAAAAGTAAATAACAGTTTCTAAATATATCTTTATAGAACCAAAATTTTCATTCGGCATCCCAGGACACTGTATGCTACAGAAGATGCTTATGAGAAATGTAAACACCTCCTGGGTGAGTTCAGGTTCAATATTAAAGGCCTTCATCACCACCTTTTGGTTTTCGTAGTAAATTAGTTTTAAGCTCTTTGTTCGCAGCATCACGACTCCAAGCCAAGTACAAAGGATACAAGGCAAAGGGAGAGTTCAGAAAACAGAAGGAGGCAGGTAAATGCATGAAATCCAGTGGTTTTTACTTTTAGAGCATTATTTTTTTTCTCTTAAAAATCACCATCATCAGATTTTAACACAACATAAGGCCTTTAGGTATAGATAAAGAAAACTTTACAGTTTTCCTTTAGAATTCTTTCATATAATTAAGAAGTCTATGTTCCAATAATGTTTTAACAAAAACAGACCCACTGATTAGGTTCTTTCTCTTGAAATCACTTTTACTTGATTCAAAAATAGCACATCATTTAAATGTAAAGATTTATTTAGCTTAATGTGGCAGCAAAGCATTTTTAATTTGTTTTCTTTACATTGTTTTGTTTTATTAGGAAAAAGGTTCCTTCCAGATTTACATACAGTCAGTTTTGTTATTTTTAATGTTGTGGACTCACAGTCTGTACATTTTCATGTCATTATAGCCACTAAGATTGAAAGTTGTTGGCGAGGAGCTCAGGCGAGGAAGGAAAAAGAGAAAAGAGCTTGGGCAGTAAAGGTCATCAAGAAGTGAGCAAGAAAATTTATGACACACATACTTTCTGTCACATTCATTGTCCTCCTCCTCATCATATATATATATA